GAAGGCGGTATGAGTGAGGTTAAAATTATGGGGAAACCCGGCTGTCCTGGCTTAGGGATTGAGGGTTGACCTATGAACCAGGAAGTTACGGTTCAGTTCCTGGCCAGGGCACATGGCCAGGTTATGAGCATGATCCCCAGTGTGGGGCATGAAGGAGGCAACCAATCAATTGGATTCTCTTTCATCATTGATGTTTCTCTCTCTCTCTCTCCCTCTCCCTTTCTCTCTGAAATCAATAAAAATATTTTTTAATTGTTAAAACAATAAATTTTTAAAAATGATGGGGAAATGAAACTGTGTTGTACTGTGGAGATAGAACAGAAAAGCCTTACTCAATCCAAGCACACAAAAAAATAGTACTCATTTCCTATTTATGGAACTGATTGGGGACTTTGGGCGTGTGCATACTGGCCAGACTTCCCATACAATAGGATACAAAACTTCAAGCATATTCCAGACTTGCTTGCTAACAGTTCAGTCACCCAGAAGGTCAAGAGAGTGACCCAGGCCTTTGTTATTCTGTACTTGTGTCTAACCAACAAAGACAAATTGGTTATGGAATTAAAAGTGTCAGGAACTTGGAAGAAAGAGTACATGTCAGTGTCATGTTTGTGAGAGCCAGGGAGAGTTAAGCATAATCAGACATGCACAGGATTACAGAGGACAGATTTTAAGAGATGTGCGGTGGAGGAGGTGGTGTTGGGAAATGGCCCAATTTCATGCATCAACTGTGGAAAGGAAGAGAATGCTAATGAGAATTAGAAAGTTCTCTCAAATGACCTAGTGGGGAAGAGAAGGTAGTACGTAGAATAAACCGTAGCAGCTACTCAGGATTCCCTTTGATGTAACACACTTTAAACTGTATCTTTAAAGTTTAAATATATATATATTAGTGGTCATCTTCGCAGGATGAAGTGACTCAGGGGAGCATGGATAAGCTTCTGAGATGCTGGCAATGTTGGGTGTTTAGATCTAGGTGCTGGTCATCGATGTGCATTTACTTGTGAGAATTTAGCAAATTGTGTTTAAGATCATTATAACCATCCACATACATGTTATACTTCAAACTGCTTGTGCTACAATTTTTAAGATTTAATATATTTCCTTCAGAACTTATTTTTCAATGCTTATGTCTGCCTGTTTGTTGTAATAAAAATTGTACTTTTCTTTATTCATTAATTTCCTTATGTGTACTATTCCATGTAACTGCATAGCCCTGTAATCATTTTTGTTAACAGCTTGGTAATACTCCACTGTGTGGTAGGCCACAAATTCCTTTATCATGTCTGTAGGGCTAGATAGATGTGGTGCTCTTCATTGCCACGTTTATAAAAACACCAGAACCAACATCTTTGAATATAAAGGTTCTTCTACATTGAAGGTGATTCACTGAGAATAGATTCTTAGAGGTAAAGAGATTAGATTGATTCTCTTTAAAGTCTCGATACCTAACTACAAATTACCCCCAACAGTATTGGCTCCTCAAACCCTTGCCCACAGCTCTATTCAACAATCATGCACAGAATTGGCAAGTTTTCTAATGTAATATTTACAAAATCTTTTTTCTTTGTCTTAATATGAAGTGGGAGGCCCTGCTGACCATCTCTGGTCTCTTAGCACCTCTCCCATGAGATTCAACTTCTCAGTGATGATCATTGTGCTACATGATGATTAGCAGATCTTCTTCAGTTCTCTGCAGTTGTACTTTGCTTAACTATCTCAGGCTTTAGTTCACTGACTTTTTAACCAAAGAACAAAAATGGAAGCCAAGAAGATGTGAAGAAGTTTGCTTTTTCTCCAATCATGAAAACAACAACAACAACAAAAACTAGTTTGATCCCCTTTGTCATCCTTTTTAAGTTTTAACTCATTTGTGACATAAGCTTTTTTGGCATCCTTTGTAGAGAGTTCTACTCTATTTCTATCTTTTTATCAGTTATTCTTCCTTTTTTCCATATTCTGAATGTGTTTATTAAAAAAAATTTTTCTTGAAATATAGCATATTTCAAATATCATATGAACACCTCAAATGAATACTTCATATATTAAAACCATAATGTGTCATATTCTTTTCACAAATCTGCATTTTCCATTTTATAAAGTAAAACAATTATTTATTATAAAAAGGAACACTTTCAGTATAAAAACAGAGAGGAAAGAAAACACTTGTCCCAAAGAACAAGTCATGTCAACCCAACCTTCTTTCTTTAAGGGAGTTCTTGGGCTGATAGATTAGAGCAATACAATAGACAGGGAATCAGTCTCTGAAGTAAATTTGACCCTATTCCCAAGTTATTTTGTGGGAAAATGTAGCTCTAACACCTGAGTGACAAAGCACTTGGGGAGATGAGTACCTAGTTCGATACTGATGAACAGATGAATGCCAACCCGGAAGAAGCATTCCAGTGCATGCCACAGAGCTCTGCCATTGGCCTGTTACAGGTTCCTACTTAATCAGTTATCTGGATGAAGTTCGAGAAAAATTAGGCCCCAAAACTCCAGATAGTGGAGAATATGGTGATAGGTTGTAGTAATCAGATGAGTCAAGGAAGATGCAAGGTAATAGTGTGTGTGACTGTACTTGAATTTCAGAAATACAACCACATCTGTAGATGTGGACGCAGGCAGATATATTTTGGTTGGGGGAGTGGGGGGAAGAGTTGCAGGTTGTTGGCAAATTTATTGTGATCAATGATAAATTAGGATGTTGCTATGCTAATAGAAGCCCTGTATAAGTAAGGAAAGTAGAAAAAAAAAGTCACTAGCTACGTGATCATATGTTGACAAGACCACGTGGAGACAGTTGCTTCCTTTTATAGTCCTTTCTCACTAAGAGGGACAACTGGAGGATGTCCTAGGATGCGTGGCTAGGATGATTCAAAGGCCTTAGACCAGCCGTGGGCAAACTACGGCCCGCCGGCCGGATATGGCCCGTTTGAAATGAATAAAACTAAAAAAAAAAAAAAAGACGTACCCTTTTATGTAATGATGTTTACTTTGAATTTATATTAGTTCACACAAACACTCCATCCATGCTTTTGTTCCGGCCCTCTGGTCCAGTTTAAGAACCCATTGTGGCCCTCGAGTCAAAAAGTTTGCCCACCCCTGCCTTAGACTCTTACCATATGAGAAATTGTTGAGGAACAAGAATGTTAATGAACTGAAAGCCATCTTACAATATACAGACATCTTTCCTATGCAAACAAGAGCAGACTGTCTATGGTTTAGGGCAGCGGTCGCCAACCTTTCGGACCTCAAGGACCACCAGTGGTTCGCAGACCACCGGTTGTCGACCGCTGGTTTAGGGAACAGAATCAAGACCATTGAGGAGTCATACCTGAGTTTAATAGAAGTAACAATTTCTAGCATTCAGAAGTGTGCATAGATAAAATAGACTCTGCTGTAGACATGATCATTTCTCTATTGCTGAGTGCATGGGTGACTCCAGGAACCTCGCTAAAGTTAGGCATGGCCACATGACTGGTTCTAGCCAAGGAAACCCGAGTCAAAACTGAAGTGTTGCTTCGGATACAAAGTGTGGTATGTAAATCAAGACTCTTCAGCCTTCTCTTCTCCTGCCTCAGTGAACACTGAAGCCTTGTGTCGAAGTGCAGGTGCCACTCAGCCTTTGTCTCTGAGTGATTCCAATGATGAGAATCTCCCAAAACCACCACACTGCCCTCCCAGACCCAGCCACACACCTACATTGGACATGTAACTGGAGTGGAAAATAAGCCTTTGCTGGTTCTAGCCACTGAAGTTCATGGGTTTTGTTATATTTGCATAACATTTTCTAGCCTAACTAACACAAGTGCCTTCAAAATGCAATTGTTCCTGTGAGTAAGCATTAGCAAGGCAACATTGTGTTCCTGAGACACACACACATTGCATTCTTTGTCTTTTATTTTTATTGCTACACTACATTCAGACTGTTGCCGGGAGCATAACTTAGTGAACTGGAATTTTCAGATTGTTCCAGGACTTCCTGGGAGATGATCCTGATAAAATAGGCTAAGCTCATTATCTTCTGTAACTCAACTTCATGCCCAGCAACACCAAAAATTTATGGATTCTGTCCACAGGGTACCAGCCAACAATGATTAGATAGTTCACTCTGCAAAGATTCTATTGCCCCATAAATACACACACACAACATTATCTATGAAAACTGTGGTCTACCAGAGATCTCAGGGCCAAAGTGACTTTTTGAACATGAACTTCTCAGTTTGAATCTTAAACCTTCATATTGGCAGGCTATTGCCACGTGTCTGTTTCAGTCTGTGCATATAGATGCATTAGTTCCCTACTAGAGGCCCGGTGCACAAATTCGTGCACGGGTGGGGTCCCTTGGCCTGGCCAGCGATCGGGGCTGATCAGGGCCATTTCACCCAGTCCCAATTGGGGCCAATTAGAATTGGCTTGGGGGAGGGACCTCAGGAGGTTGGCTGGAGGTTGACAGACCATGGGAAGTTGGCTGTGGAGCGCACTGACCACTAAGGGGCAGCTCTTGCATCGAGTGTCACACCCACCAGCCAGTCATCTGATCGTAATGGTCACTTAGGCTTTTATATATATAGAAAACAAAGTTTCCCAAGGATGCCCTTGGTTCCATCTACAAACCCATGGGTTCTCTCAGGAACACATGCAGCTAAATAAAGCACACAGCATGCCATCATGTGTCCACTTAGTGTTGTTGTTAAAGTTGTTCTCTGGTGGGCAATATCTGATATGATTATACAGTGGTTTTGTCTGGGGAAGAAGCTTATGAGGTGATGTGAACCAGGAAATGAAAGGAACAAAGTGTGTGCCTAGACTGAAAAGAAATGAAGAAACAGAATTAAAAAGTGATTCCAATGGGGGGAAAATGGAAAGGACAAACTTAAAATTATAATTAAAAGTACATATTAATGCATATATATGCAAATATATATATTTTTTTCTTTATATAGCAAACCAAACCCACAACTAATTAACGAGAGCCTTACTTTTGTTGTTCACAGGAGACCAAAATCAACTGTGTTCGTCTGGCTACGAAAGGTATGTTGGCATGTTCTTGTCTGTCTTCAGCCATCCTTTAGTCACTTAAGTATTCCTCCCTCTAGCCACACAGGGAGAGTTTAGGCAACAATAACAAGAAAGAATTGTTATTTTTAGTGGAATCATTTGCATCTAGGCATTAATGTATACCTGACTGTGTATATATTAATAACACAGTGCCTAAAGCATAGCAAGAGCTCAGAACATATTTGTTGAATCAATGGATGGATGAACTAGTACAATAATCAGTGGGTAATATAAATTTACTCATATTCTTCTGCTATATATTCTTGAATTTAGATCTTTGTTTATATTGAAATTTTTAAGCATGTCTATTAAACCTGTCTTATGGGTTTTGTACTTTATTCAATTGGCACATGGCTTTCAAAAATGAGGTGATTACTGTTGATGCCTTTAGTAATGAGAAAAGAAACATGGCTTTGTTTTGTAGTTGGCATTTTCAACACTTCCTCCAAAAACTAAGGCAACATTGTTCAGGCTCATCACTTTTTGTTTTCCTAATTATAATTGAATTGTCTGGCTCTTTCAATTGGTACATATTTCTGTTTATTACTCTTTTTAAAAAATCAATGAATAGTTTGTTATCATTTAACCTATTACAGGGTTGAATGGTTAGATATCAGGTTTATCTTTTTGTTATAGAATTGCTATTTTTAACAGCTATCCTTCCCATATAAACACACCAAAATTGGGCAGTTCTATTTTGTTCCTTGCTTTTATTGACAGCATATACAGTTTTATAGGCTGCTTCCTTAGAAATGACCATTATAAATATAAGTATAAATATAGTCATAGATATAAAGTATAGATAAAAACAATGGCCCAACTACATATATATGTGTATATATATGAATATATAGACACATGCACACATATAGAGAAAATGCACAGATATATGGGGGAGGGGAGACAGATTGAGACAGAGAGAGACTAAGAGAAAGAGAGAGGGGGAGGGAGGGCAGAAGGGAGAAGGAGAGAGAAGAAAAGAATATCTATGTTTATTTGGCAAACATGTGCCAAGACCAGCCAAACACAGCTTTTACAACCTTGAAGAAAATAAGATCAATTTGTAGGCAGAACAGAGAAGATGCGAGAGGAAGGAGAAGCCAGGGCACTAAGGGCTCACTGTAACAAGAACTCCTGATTTCACGGAAGTCATGAGGGGTCAGCATGTCCCTAACTTATTACCTCTGGGGAACTCAGGCTACTAGACAGAAAGAAATAAAATGCCCTTTGTGAGGAGGCCAGGAGAACGGATGGCCTGCAAGCAAAAGTGACACAAATCACAGCCTTGCAGACTTTTCCCCTGAAGAAAACAGATCACCTGGAAGAGGGACACCATTCATTGGGTAGCTCTAGAGCTCTAGGCGGCAAGCAGGGCAACTGGTGGCGTCTGGCTTACACAGGCAGCCAGGAGAGGGAAGCAACTTACGTAGAAACCCTCCCTGTGATGCTGCTCCATGCTTCCCCTCTAGCCTTTGATTTCTAGACAAGGGAGGGTTGATGTGGTCGTTCTGCCCACCATGGGGTATGTGGGCATCTAAGGATCCCTCTGAGACATAGGCCACCTAACAAGTAGTTTGTTGGATCATATCTTAAGAATTGGGAACATGTGACTGGACAAGCAGTAGGTATATATGGGGACTCTGAGAGTGTGTACCACCATGCTTCCTGGGACATTGAGGACCCACTGTGTGCGCACAGAGGCCCACCCTGGCATGCTGCTGCCGAGCCACCTTGCTGGTCTGCGGGAGAACTGAGTGGTCCTTATAGAACTGCAGCAGAAAGCTCTCACCTCTCCTCAGCACCCTTAGGGTTTCTCCTCCTGTTTGACCTTATAGATCACAGTCATCCTTATTGGAATGTGTGCACCTAGAAGGTCTGGAGGGATAGCAACACATGAATGAATGATATGTGCCCAGCTGGCCATGCCCCGGCAGAGCTTGGAGGAGTCGGGAGTCAGAGTGGCTCTGAGCAGCCACACCGAGGTTTCCAGTTCATTGAGGGCCATCACTGTGGCCCCGAGAGCGGGGCTCCAGCAGCACATGGGAACGGGGCAGGGAGCTGGATGATGTAGAATACCCTCCACCACGGCTCAGGGAGGGATACCGCACAGCACCCATCAGATAAGAGGGCACTTGGTGACTGCAGAGCAAAGACAAGGGAAGGGAACCTGCATCTGTTTAGTGTCTCTCTGTGCCTGGCATTGCTAATGGAGCATCCTGGTTGATTAAAGGCAAACCCCATCTAAATCCATGCACTGCCCATGGGGCCTCTGTATCAGGATCGAAGGCTAGGAATCAATATTTAACCTGTTTCTTTTCTGAATCAAATTTCCCTCTTTGTGGGTTTGCTGAAAACACTATTCTTTTTAATAGAGGAAAATACGATACCGGGAATCCCTCAGGCGCCAGGAGTATGGGAAGTCCCAGTGGCAGATTCCACGGGCCATCTGTTTCCTCCAGGCTCCTCCACCTCTGGCGTTACGGCACCTCCTCAAGTGTCTGCCAGGGGCATCCAGCCCCTGGCGCGTGAGCTTCTGTGCAGGCTTGAGGCCAGGGCTCTGGTGAGAAAGCAGCTGCCTGTGTCCTGTCCCTGCCCGTGGTGACACCAGACAGTGTGTGTGGTTAGCCATGTGAGTCTCGCAGAACTGGAGGGCTGCCACTCGGGACGGAACAGCTCCGAACACGCACGCAGGGCCTTGCTGACCTGACCCCAGGCTCCGTGCGTCTTCTGTGAGATGCCTCACCTTGTCTGCGCGTCACGCCGCTGTGTGTCACTCCAATGGAGTGCTGCCTGGTTTGGAGGGCTGCTAAGAAAGGGACCTGCATTGGTTTTCTGTGGCTGTTGTACCAAAGGCGCACAGATCGAGTGGCTTAAACAACAAAATGTACTGTCTCACAGTTCTGGAGGCCATCGAGCGCCAGCAGGGTTGGTTCCTCCTTAGGGCTGTGAGGGCAGGACCAGCTCCAGGCCTCTCCCCGGCTTCTGGTCGTTTGCTGGCAATCTTTGGGGTTCCTTGGCTTGTAGAAGGACCACTCCAATCTCTGCCTTCACCGTCACATGGCGTTCTCCCTGTGTGCATCTCTGTGTCCAAATTTCTCTGTACAAGAACACTGGTCATATTGAAATTAGGGGCCCACCCGACTCCAGTATGTCCTCATCCTACCTAATTACATCTGCAAGGACCCTATTACCAAATAAGGTCACATTCTGAGGTACTGGGGGTTAGGACTTTCACATTTGAATTTAGGGGGGAGTCACTATTCAACTCCAAATAGGAAGCATGCAGTTAGGGGCGTGTCCATGTGGTTCCCACCAGAGCCTCTGTCTATTCGCCATCCACAGTGCGATTCCATAGCTTTCAAGGCTGTGCAAGGAGCAGGAACCAGCCCTGCCAGGGTCTGGGGGTTAGAGGTCCAGCTTTGGCTGCTGCTCCCTTCAAAGGTGAGTGAGATGAAGCGGCCTCAGGCAGAGGACCCCGGTCTGTAGCAGCAGGACCCTCCTCAGACCCGACATGAAGATGGAGCATCAGGTGCTGATCCAATCACGGTCTGGGGCCTGAACAGGCTGGGCTTCCTGGGGAAGGAACCAGCACTTCCCTCCATGTTAACCACTAATTTGCCAATCAGGTGTTGCCACGGCAGGAAATTCCTGGCGCATGTAGGCATTCGAAAAACGCCTGCTAAAATGAGTAAAGGCATTGGAGTCAGCATCTCACAGCAGCAAGGCTCAGAGGCCTTGGGTGTCTCCCTGGATCTTCCTGAAACTCAGCCGCATCCCATGTAAAGCGATCCCCATCTACCCGTTCATAGAACCTTTTGAACATACCTACTGCCAGTGGTTTGCTGATGGACCTGCTCTCTGTCAAAGAAAAGACCTCATTTGTTGTCTTTGTGGATATTCAGGTGTAAATATCCCCTCCAGGTCCAGTTTCACATTGCCAATGGTTTAACAACTGGCTGGCAACAAAGAAAAAAAGAAATCTTGAATGTTGAACAACCAGCTCTAGACAACTGGTACAAGCCAGCTCCAGCATGCCAACACCTCTCCCACCGTTTCTTTGATATGATGATATGATATGATAAACTTAAAAGTGTTTTATTTACTGCAAAGTATTTTGGAATTTTTTTATTATTATTATCCATGACTGTTATTTCCTCCATGGAGTCAGCTCCTCGATGAGCATGCATGAGCCAGGCATCTTGAAAAGAACTTGGGATTTTGTGGTGAGCTGGCAGGCATGGTTCCTGTCCCCAGCAGGCTCACAGTCTAGTGTGGACACAGACATTATATGGATGCTTTTACAGATCATTGTGACCAGTGCTTCCAAAGAGAATCGGGACTGAAGTTGCCCCATGTAGTCATGGCATGCGTGCCCCAGACCATCATCTCGGGCTCTGCTCCTCGGAACTGGTGCCGTGTAGGAGGCTTTTGCCTCCCTGTCCCAGCACCACGCCTTCTCCACTAGCACTGGGATTGTGTGGTACCCAGAGCAAGGGTGGGATCTGGGAGGCCAGCTGACTCAAACCTCAAACTGTGAGGGGATCCACCCTCCTGGCCCACCTCTTCCCCGCCCCCACAGGAAGAGCCAAGTGCCCTGTGTTTAGAGAGGATCCTGCTGGTGGGTCCACATGTCACCAGGGGCAACTTCTATTTATAGAGGCAGATCAGAACCTTAAGTTGAAGACGCAGCTAAGGGACTGTGGGGTGGGTGTGTTTGGTGTTTGTCAATAGAAGGGTTAACTCCAGGGTCAGGACAGGCTCATCTCAGAAGCCTTGGGGCAGTCTTTTCCATTGATGGGGGCTGTGGTCATTACCCCAGATTCACATTCTTCTTTATCTCCTACCTCAGCTGGGGTCTGCTGTCATTAGCTTTGACTTTGAGGAACCTAGTGGGAAAGTGGAATTTATCAAAGAGCAGATGAAGCAGAAAGGGAGCAGTCTTAAGACAGCTGCCCTGCAGCAGAGCCTGAGGC